TTTTTTTAACTTTTCATTTTGACATTATATCAGGTTTACTGAAAAGCTGTCAGAAAAGTACAAAAACCTTCATATACCCTCCACTCACAGTCCCCCAAAGTTAACATTTACCACATTTGCTTTATCCTCTCTCTTTACACATGCACACACGCACACAAATTTTTTTCTAAGTCATTTTAATAAATTACAGATACCATGCCCTTTCCTCCTTAATACTTCCCTGGGCGTTTCCTAAGAACAAGGTTGTTCTCTTATATACCCCAGTGCATTGATCAAAATCAGGCAATTAACATTGACTTAATACGGTTACCTAATCTATAGGCCTTACTCAGATTTCAACAGTTGTGTCAATAATGACCTTTTAGCAAAAAGCGCATGCATTTCATTTGGCCATCTAGCTCCTTAGTCTTCTTTACTCCAGAATGGCTCCTCAGTCTGTCTGTGTTTTTCGCACTAGTACGTTTTTTTTTTTCAAGAGTACAGGCCATCTGTTTTGCAGGATACCCCTCCATTTGGGCTTCACAGATGTTGTTTCACTCTTCCACCCAGGTTACATTCTTTTGGCAGGAAAACCGGACAAATGATGCTGAGTTCTCCGTGCATCCCATCAGGGGCACCTGGAGCTGGTTAGTCTCGTCGAGTGCAGGCAGTGTTCCCTTTGGTTATCGGATGCAGGTGCTACGTGCCGGGTTTCTCCACTGCCCAGATACTGTTGGAGCCTTAAGCGTGGGCCGGGGAGATGCTTGGAGACTAACCATTCTGTTCTCCTCAGACTCTTGCCCGCTAGTGTCAGCATCCATTGACGATTCTTGCTTGAATCAGTTACTGTTATGATGGTGATTGTTCTGGTCCCATGATTTCCTCGTGTGTGTGTGTGTGTGTGTGTGTGTGTGTTAGCTGGCTTTCTACCTGTAAGGCAGAACTTTCCCTTTTTAAATTTCTATCAGTGTGGATTCACAGGTCCTCGTTTTATGCAGTGGGTTATAATCCTTCGTATCAGTAGTATATATTCTGATGCTCTAATTGTTCCAGATTTGGCCAGTAGAACCTTCACGAGCTGGCTGGTTCCTGTCCTTTGCGTCTGTCACTCTTTAGGACCGTCACTATTCAGAGGCAGCCCTTGGTAACTGGGTTGAGCCTTTTCCTGTTACCTCTTGACTTGCAGAAGAATACTCAGTGTCTCTGCCTGGTTAGAAAACTGACTCTCCGTGGTCTTCCCATCTCCCCCCACCCCCCACCACGACCCCCCCTCCCTCGTGGAACAGGATTTTCCAGCAAGGAGACTTGACTAGTAACTGACGGAGCGTTAGCATGTCCATCCTCAAACACAGGACTGTTTAACTTCAACACAAAACACGGGGCAGAGTCAACCCCCAACACAGGACTCCGGGAGTGGCCGGTTGCCTGCGGTGGGTGGACATCCCATCCTAATGGTATTTGCTTTTCCCCTGTGCAAACCAGCTGATGGTTGCAAAGGATTTGCCCTTTGCTTCTCTGTTGCTTTTTCATATTCCAAAGAGAAAGCAAATTCCAATTCTGCTAAGTAATAAAAGGCCCCTGACAACTGAGTTCTCGCCTTCAAGCTAGCCCTTGTCAAGGGGGGTTGGGGGGGCGGAGAGAAAGCAGGTAGACTGCCCATTTTGAACTCAGTGTTATTTCAAACGAGCATGTATTCTGCCCTCGCCCACCATTTCCATGTGTCACACCAGGCAAGGAATATTCCCTTTTCGATCCTGGATATGGGAGAGCTCCTTGCTCAAAGCAAGATGTGGGTGTGGCAGGGACATAGGAAAAGAGAAACCATGGATTTGTTACTAGGAATCTTCACAGAAGGAAGGCAGTTGTAGATAGGGGCAGGCAGGGGTTGGGTGTAAATACACTAGTCCCCACCCTTTCCGTCAGCGGTCACGCGGCCTCGGACGCAGGAGTTGCCTCAGTGAGGGAAGGGTTGCCGCCGGGGAGGGAGAGCCCTGGGCAGGTGGGAGAAGGCTGAGTGCTGCCCAGGAGGAGGCTGTGCCCCTGGCCGGAGGGGCTCGGGGCGTGGCCCTCAGGTAGGAGACCAGGTCCGGAGGAAACCCACGTGGTGTGCCCCGAAGGCCAGCCGTCGGGGGAGAAGCCACTTAGAAACCTGTTCTTAAAAGGGGAAAGCCATCAAAACATCCTTCACGTTCTGTGGCTTTGGAAGAAAAATAGATCCTGTGGTTTTCCTGGGGGAGGAGGAAGGGCACCCCAAAGCCCCAGGTGGCTTGTAAATTCTTAAGAAACAAGGACGCGGTGGCTCTCCAGCTGGCCTCTTCAGTCTCAGCGGTGTGCATTTGGGCGCCCGTGGCCCCCAGGCCCCAGCCCCAGCGGGTGGGGCCCGCAGCCGGCCGGCTTCGCCACGGTTGACCTTGGTCAGCCCGAGACCTGGCCACCCAAGGTGTGGCTCAAGGCCTGCCCCCTGCTCACCTCCTCCCTTCTTTCCTCCCTCTCCCTTCCCTCCTTCCTTCCTGAAAACCTTCCCCTCCTATACCTCTTGAACTCCCCATCCCCAAATTGACCTCCCTGATATTTTTACAAAGATTAATATTTTACAGTGGCTTCAGTGACATGATGATGACCCACAGTCTGCCCTCTCTCAAAAACTCCAAAGCCTGGTTTCTCCTTTTTTTTTTTTTCTTTTTTGCCACCTATCCTCCTGACTGACTGTGTTTGTAAACGGAGTCCAAGATTATATAAAAGTACTGCAAGTAGGCAGAGGGGGGCAGAGTTTTAGAGCAGGGTGGGGGAGGGGGGAGAAGGGGGGAGCGGGGCTGATGGAGGGGAGGAGGTGCACGTGGTATTTGTTATCTATCCTGTTTGTCCAGCCGGTTTGTGAATTATTAGCAGAAAATAGGCATAAGTGGAAGCAGAGGCTGGGAACAAAATTCCAGGTTCTGGAACCGCGGTCATTTAATTGAGAGGGCTTTGAAGAAGGAAATGCTTGTACACACAAACTACTGGCTAAGCTCCCAATGATCTCTCCCTCTGAGGAACTTTTGTGGCACTTGGGGCTTCTATCTTTCAATTGGTGCCACAGTTGATAGAAATATACCATTTGGCCCTTATTCCAGAAAGCAAGTATTATTTGGTGTTATAAATGCGTTTGTTCCTGTGTGTGTTGTGGCAACTAGATTTTATCTTTCTTCGGTGCAAGGCCTCCATCCCTTTTTTTTTTTTTTTTTAACATGCTGTGTCCAAACAGGTCCGAGTAATAAGTATGTGCTTCTTATGAATATTAACTCGTATAATCTCCAAGGATTCCTTATGGTAGACATATCATTAGTCCCATTTACAGATGGAATAGCTGAGGCCTGAAGTCATACAGCCAGTCAGAAGCTGGGCTCCGAACCATATAATCCCAAGTAAATCTCCCCAACTCCAATCTATGATCACATCTGCAAAAACTTGGGTTTTGGGTTTTTTTTTAAAGATTTTATTTATTTATTTGACGGAGAGACACAGCGAGAGAGGGAACACACGCAGGGGGAGTGGGAGAGGGAGAAGCAGGCTTCCTGCTGAGCAGGGAGCCCGATGCGGGGCTCAATCCCAGGACCCAGGGATCATGACCTGAGCCAAAGGCAGACACTTAATGACAGAGCCACCCAGGCGCCCCAAGACTTTGGGTTTTTTGTGTGTTGTTGTTGTTTGTTTTTTGGTCATAAGCAGTAACATTCACAAGTTCCAGAGATTGGGATGGGGATATCTTTGGGGGGCCGTTTTTCAGCACTCCATAAGAAGTTATTTGTGGATTACATAGGCCCAGTAACCTACCCGTCTATAACCTCTTAAAGAGCACCATTCATGGGGCGCCTGGCTGGCTCAGTCAAAGAGCATGTAACTCTTGATCTTGGGGTTGTGAGTTTGAGCCCCACATTGGGTGTAGAGATTACTAAAAAAATAATCTTAAAAAAAAAAACAAAAACAAAAACGAGAGAGCACTGGTCATTTTTCATGTGGGTAAAGGCTTGTGAAGCAGTTGTGAAGGGCATCCTGGGAATTCAGCCACAACTAAAAGAAGACAGAAGAGGGGCCAGGGGAGGCAGCGACTCGGCCAACAATGAATGATCTTTCCTTCTTCCTAGAGCGCACGTCTTACAGAGACGGAGAGACTGGGGCTGTAGATTCTGTTATTGGCCTGTCTTTTTAAAGGTTGTAGGTTTTAGAAATGGGAAGTGATTTAGAGGTTCTTTCACGTCAGCATTTTGGCTCTTGAGAGGAAAGATCAGAACAACATGATCAGTTCTACATGGAGGGAAGATTTGAGTCAGAGGAAACACAAAACTTGGAAAGGGGCAGGTGGGAGATAAAAGAAGCACAGAGCTGAACCCACCTGCTGCCAGGAGGCCCCAGGGGCCCATCCTTGAGCTGGAAGAGTGTGGAGCCCTTGGCCCCAAGCCACGTGTGGCCCAGTCATGGGAAAGGCAGAACAGGTGCAGTTTAGTCCTGGGTAAAGCGTGGCATGATGACTGCAGCTGTAACCTCCTTGGGTGTCTCCTGTGGAACACGCAGGTCAGCCACTGTACCCAGATGTCCTTTAACACTTGAGTAGCTAATCCCCTGGTAAGGAGTCCTCTCTTCTCTCCTACGCCTCCCGCTGCAGCACGGTGGCTGCACCCTGGTTGGGTTCCCGCGTCCCCAGCGCAAGGCGATGAGCTAGGAAATGGCACGGATCCTTTTCAATCCCGCCTTTCTCCCCCTTGCATTCTTCAGCCTGTGTTAACTCCTTTGCCGAATGGAGATGACACAGATACCTCCCAGGGTGGGCGGAAAGGGCCTGGCAGAGACCCGTGTGAGTAGATGTTTGAGAGCTCTGAATTCGCGATTTGGTATAAAGGAAGGGGTTCCCAGGACGCGCGTGTTGTCCTTTTGCCAAAAATTGTGACTCGACGAACTTGGAGTATCTAAGGAAGAGAAAGCAAATGTAATTTCTATTCACGTGTCATTCACTGTGTTCTCTCCTTTTTAACTTTCTTTTCCAGATGGTAACAAAAAATAATCCAGATGGGGTGCAGGTGCTGTAAAATGATACAAAGGTAACATTGAAAAAATAACTTCTGAGTGGAGGAATCTGGGATTACCGTGGGGGCCCTTCTAAAGACCATGCATGGATTTAGTGCATTTATCCTTCTTGGGGCATGAGAAGCATTGCTAAGAAGTTATGAGTTTGGAACTGCTTTGATATCATTTAAGAGGACATATGGCCTAGATTTTTAAACTTGTTTTGCTCACCGCTCAGAGCACGTTGGGAACGACAAAATGCTCTGAGAGCAAATTTGGTTTAGGTTGAATTTCCAATTCTCCAGAGAGCTTCAGCACAAAGAAAAGCTTGGGTTTCAGGGACGGTGCCTGACAGGGCATCGCTGAAAATAAATCACGCCCATCACATACGTGTTTTTAATTTTGTCCAGATTCGATTTCAGAATAATTTGGATCACATGAATAGAATTCTACACAAACTAAAACCTGACTAATTTGCTTCCTTCACAACTAACACTTTTTATTATTCTAGTTCTACATCTGTAGCTAGATGGCTGTATCCATTTATTCATATGTATGTGTGTGTGTGTAAGTTCTCTTCCATTGTAATCACAATGTGATGGTAGGCTTTATTCAGAAAACATTTATCATAATAAATATTATAAGTATCATTCATGTTAGTCCAGACTTCATATTTATTGTTTTAACGACTACATGATATTCCATTAAGGGGATGTGCTTAACCACTTAGTCCCCTGTTATTGGGCATTTGTTTTATTTCCCTGTTTGGTTATTTTTAAACTCCATGAATCACTTTGTACTTTACTTTGTTTCTGTCTTGGATCTCTTCTTAGGCTCTATTCCTTTACCCCAACTCTTATCTAATTGGTTTAGACACACATACAGGCTTAACGGAATAATCGCAGAAATTAACAGGAATAGTAGAAGGAGGCAGAGCCTGTAGGAGAAAGTATTAATGACGGAAGCTAGTTATTCATAAAGGTAGTAACGAATAAAGTGTATTAGTGTTTAGCCTGACCCTCATTCTTGTCACCCCCAGCTATCTCTTTGATCCGGTTCAAGTGCCCTCCCCTGGCTATGTCAACGAGGTGAACAGCTGCAAGGTGGATGAAGGTGACGTGGGTAAACTGAAAGGCAAACAGAGCGGCCAAGTCCTCGTGCACAAAAACGAGCTGCAGAGCGAGGGCCTGAAGAGGACGGCCAGCAGAGGCAGAGCCTGCGGCGGGCAGGAGCCCCACTGGCCTCCCCCAGGACCGCCCCCTCAGGGGGAGACGGCGGGGGGATACTGTGCGGACAGAGCTGGCAGTGCCATCAACGGCATTGGCCCCGCCCCCGCCCCCCTGCAGCCCACCGGGGATCATGGGCCCCACCGGGGAGACAGGGGCTCCTGCGTCAGGACCGCGCACAGCGTTGCCCCAACTCAACCCTTCCCGGAAGGAGGGGTCCCCGGACAACAGGACAGTGTGCTGCCGGCCTCGCAAGAGACCCAGCTCGTCAGAAATGGGGACTCCAGGGCTTCTTCCAGGGCAGAAGGTCCTGCCTTGCGAGTACAAGACCATGACCTCCAGATACCGGCCCCGGATTACCCTCCCCTTCGGGGCTCCACTGTAGACAAAGCTGATCAGGAAGAAAAGCACTGTCTTTCCAAGAGCCAGACTGACGAAGAAGCCCTGGCGGGAATTTCCCCCAGGGTCAGGGAGCACGGTTTGAACATGCCCTTCCCCTTGAAGAGAAGTTGGGATTCGTTAAGCGAGGCCGTGGCGACAGAAGGCCTAAGTGTCTACTTTGAAGCAGAGGATGCTGCTCAGGCCGCGCCCCTGGTCGATTCCAGAACCGGGTGGGAGGATGCACCTGGCTCCGCGGGAGAGCCGGGTGGGGACGCGGAGGACGAGGATGCGGCCGTGGCCGAAGCCCTCGCAGCCTTAGAAGCAGCTACCGCTGGAGAAGACGTGGACGAGGCAGATTAGGGCCCTGAGCAGGTGTCGCTGCGCGCACGTGGGGTGCGCGTGCTCCCTGGTCGGAGCTGGTGCCCCGCAGCCTGCGCCCCCCGCAGCCTTACAGGTTGTTTGCGTCAGCGTCCGCTCTGATGATCGCGGGTGCCCGCGCCAGGCCGCTTGTTGTTAAGTATGGACAGCACCACTGTGTGGACGGGCGATCACTCAGGGCGCCAGAAGAAAAATCAGAGTGCAGGTGCCCACAGCGCATGCGGGGATCAAACAGCCTACTCCTCGACCCACAGATCTCCCTCCAGAACATCTGGGACAGATGTTCTTGAGAATGCTCTGAAATCCCAGCGCTTAATCCCCACCACCCCCCACCACCAAGGGCACAGAATCACAGAACATTCTGTTTGTAAATTCGTTGTCTTGCTTTTGAGAGCCAGACATTGTACCCAACCTGGAAAAAGTAGCTACCCCCACTGAAAGTGCCTAGTGTGTCCCCAGAGCATGGCTTGCCTTCAGGGACAGTCACCCAGGGAACTAATCACTAACCACTTGTTTGACATGGAGTTAAACTCAGCAGGCTTCAGGATGGAGCAGAAGCCACCAGTAAGCAAATGGTTAGTCATTAGCTGTGATATTAAGACACCTTGACCTTAACTTTTTTACATTATTACTTTTTACTCTCCTTTGGGACTGGGGAGGCTGGCCAAAATAATTCTGAAAACTGCTTGTGTTGTATTTGAGTTTTAAGTTCATGAGATTGGGAAGAGCGAAGAGATAGATGTTTTACGCCACCTAATGTCGATTCTGATTAAAATATAACAACATATGTGTCTGTCTGTTGTAACTCAAAGGTAGTTCTCATTTCCCAGACTGAGTGTCATTAAGCCTTGATGTTTCTTTCCATTTCGAGGGCTGCACTACTGAGTTACAGGTGAGGAGAACCAGTCCGTTCGCTGAGAATGGCTTTGGCTGTTTGTCCCTGCCATTCAAACTCATGACACCACATGCCCCGATCTTACCTAAGGATGAGCCACAGCCCTCTCTGGATGCCAGCCTTCTGGTTTATAAAAGCAAGAACTGCCATTCTGACATGACTCAGTGGAGAATTTAGAGGATGGTCAAGTCTCTCTGGAAAACTATGAACATGGGAGATGCTCTCATATGGCATTTCATAACACAGGCTCTGAAACCTGGCTGACCTTGGTTTGATTTCCAGCTTTGCCACACGACCTCAGGCAAATAATTTTTCCCTTCTACTTGCCCATCCGTTAAGTGAGAATAATAGTATGTATTTGTAAAGATTGAATGAGATTATGCAGGTATTTATCACAGTGCCTGGCACACAGTAGGCACGCAACAAAATGCTAAGTCTTACCATTTGTTAAAAACAAATCCTTGAAGCATGGTTTTATGTCCTCACAACTGAAAACTCTAATACTGTCAATGTCATCACTGCACTTTGGTGATCATTTAAATAAAAAGGTGATTTCTGAGCTTCCCAGCATCTTTAAGGATGGCACCCTTACAAATGCTTACCAGACATACATTACCCTGGGTTTGTTTGGTGACATGCCAGCTCTACATACAAGGTCACACCAAGCACTGAAAATACAAGCTGTTGTCATTGTTAATTGCATAATCGGTGGATTTGCTATTGTACTTAGTACACGGAATGCTTCCTATTTGAGAGTGGTCCCTTCAAGAGTTTCCCAAGGTGTATCTGTTGGGATTAGGTTCAGCCCATGTGATAAATGGCTTATGTAAAAATAGAGATGTATTTAGAAGAAGTCCGGAGTTAGCAGTCCAGGGTGATAAGAGTTCCATCCTATCAGCTACCTGTGCTCCTATCATCTTGGCTTCCTTCTCAAGATTACTATGTATTCCAATCATGACATTTGCTTTCCATGCAGGGAAAAGAAGGAAGGGATCTCTCTCCCTTCCATTTATACCTCCTTGGTCAACATCTAGTCACGTGGTCACATTTAGATGCAAGAAAGGCTAAGAAAACTTACCTTTCTGTCTGTCTGGATTTTCCAGTCGAATTCAGGATTCGCTCACCAAGAAGAGGGAGAATAGACATTGAGTGTTGAGGTGGTCACCTTGCTGTGTCTGGTACGCCAGGGCCTCAGAACGCAAGAGCCTGGGAGAGAGCCAGTTTGCAAGAGGTTGAAAGATTGTATTCACATTTGGTGTAACAGAAAGGGATTGAACTTTCCGTCTAGTGGAAGGAGGACTGGACAGCTACAAGGTATCCTGACCTCCCGTGGCTGTCTCTACAACAGAAGGAGGAAAGAAGAAAATTCAGACAGAAAAGGGGTAAGTTAAGGTGAGGAATTAGTGCAGACAGGTCTCCTTGCCTTGCACGTGTACATAATTTCCCATTTTGAGACTGCTGCGGATACTTCACCATGTTAACAGTTCTCCTGAGCTTTAAAGATTCTTTTTGTGCAAATAACTGCTTCAGAAAGGTTAGCAGATGACCGAGATTTTCGAGTGTTTTTTTGTTTGTTTTTTAAGCTGTCATGACGCCTTTTGTCTACCCCCATATCCAGGCTCTACCAAAGGATGTCCGAATCTTCAGGTTGAAAAGAAATTTCAGATTTTAGCTTTAGCCACCAGGTTGTCTAGCAACTGACTAAGCATCCTACTCTGTGGAGTGTCTTTTCTATAGTCTAGTGCCACCCCGTATCAGAAAAGTGATGATTGGCAATAGTGAATTTTTAAAATATTCTGGACAACTTGAAAGCACAGATGCACTCTGAATGGAAGGCACTGGCTTTGATTAGGAGGGGACATCCTGGTCTTTCATGGTCTAAGCAAATTGTGTCATGTGGCTATTTACCACATTAAATCTTGATTTTGATATAAAATTATTCCTATATTGTGTGCGTGTGTGTGCGCGTATGTACACATTTTTTCCTGGGGCAAGCTGAACCGTCATGTAAATAGAAAAGTAAATATTTTTCTCTGGTTTCCAAGGCAGACAGTAGCAAATTGTTGTAACTGTCAAACCAGATGTTTAAAGGCACAAAGAGAATTTGAGGCTGCTTAGCACATGCCCATTTTGTCCATACTTAGTAACTGCTGGCCAGTCACTGTTTCTCCCTTTTTGCTTCGCTCTGCCTCTGACCCAAAGGATCAGACTCTCTCTTCCTGGGTCTTCCATCAGTATTTCCAAGCAGGAGGCCCTCGGAAGAATGAAGGGGGCACAGAATCCAGGCATGTGAGCAAAGATCTGATTTCCTTCGTTTTGTCTCTGTGAGGTCACAGGAGTGAGGCCTCCAGTCTTGGACGTGAACTTTATGATGAAAATGTGGAAATCCTTGCTTTCTGGGGTTTTTTGTTTTGTTTTGTTTTTAAACTCCAGAGTTTAAATAACTCAGTTATTTTCAAACCCTCTATTTTGGAACTGGTGATAATTAAACAGAGACAAGCTAACATTTGTTTCTCCTGGTAAACGCTTTCCCTGTTAATGTGTGGGAAAAATAAGTTGCACGTTGATTTACTAAATTGGTAAGTTCCTCCGATGCAGGAGGTTATAGTAGACGGCTATAAACTGTCTGACCTTCAAAGCACCCTCGGCCACTTGAAGAAACAACACTGTTAGACACCCCTATCAAATATGCTGATTATGGATGATTCTTACCTGCCACATTAAATCAGTCGGCTGCAGTTGACTACTAGCAATGGTTTTCAGTTAAAGCAACTGTAACAGACCAGTGCCTTGTGCCTCCATCTAGGATAGCATAGGGCACAAGGCGGGAACTCAATCCATCATTTGTTGAGGGAATGAGGAACAGCTCCCCACAGTATAGTTAGGACACCCCCTGCAGCAGACATTCTGGAGGCTAATTGGGAGATTGTGGTATGTAGCCATCAAGGTATAAATGCAGGGCCATGGAAGCACAAGTCTATGTGAATCCAAGAGAAAAGAAATTGCATCTATTATTCATGCTTTTCACTCCCGGACTGCCCTGCTCTGTTTGACCACTGGTGCTTTAGAGTGGTCCATGGAAAGGGGTCAGAGAGTAGAATTCGAGGACTCGGTGAAGGTTTGGTCTCTAGACTGAGACCACGGGACTCTGAGGAGCTTAATCCCCAAATAAGACAAAACCCTCAAGAAAACCAAAGTTTGGGACCAAGCAATGGGAAACTTGGCTGACCACATTTTTCACTCATTTTGAACTCAATCTTTAAAATCCTGAGGGAGTAAGAAAGGAAGGATGTGTGTTTGTGTAACAAGACTCAGATGTCCCCCGGAGGTTGGCTCTATAGCCATGCATCCCGAGCTCCAGGTCTCAGGGGTTATGAGCACATGGCACGTGCCAAGCACTCACACACACACACACACACACACACACACACCTCTGTAATCCAAAGAAATAGGAGTGGAATCAGTCTGCGCTTCTTGCTCACTGTGTGACCTTGAGTTTACATTTCTTAACTTTCCTGACCCTCATTTTCCCCACCTGTAAAACGGGGATCCTTCCTACCCCCCAAGCTGAAAGCAGATATTCTCAAATTTCAGGGTGCTTGTTTCCAAACAGCAGATTTCTGGGCCTCACCTCCCAGAGATTCGGGTTCCATAGGTCTTGGGCGGAGACCTGGCATCTGCATGGTTGATGTGGGTAATTCTCAAGCCACACATGGAGAAACACCAAGATTATAGACTAGGAATTGCCATATCTTCCTGATCTTGCAGCAGTTACCAATAAAAAAAGTGTGTGCTCTTACCCCTAATAGAAGAACACTTACAATTACACGTACCTCTTGAACTATGTCATATACCCAACAAAGCAATATTAAGATGGATTAACGATTAAATATCAAAGTTTTAATACTTTCTTCCCCTACCCCTTGGTTCTGTGAAACCTACTTTGAAAACCACTGATTTAGAAGCTCAAATGAACTATCTATAAAAGCACTTTGTAAATAGACAAAACTGAAGTAATATCTTTGACAACATATATGTGAGCCATATACACTTAGAATGCACACTTAGCCGTACACAAGCAAATGTGAAAACGTACACTCCAATACCACTCATTCTCATCCTTTGAGCCTGATTTTTAGGAAACTTCTGTATTTTCTGCTTTTAAGCATTTTGGAGTAGTTAATATAAAACTGGAGTAAAATATGACCTAGAGACCAGAAGAAGGTAAACAAAGAATTTTACTCATCTCCCTTATCAAAACTACACGTTCCCAACCAATCTGAACAAGACAGTTGGGAGATAGGCCGATGGGAATATTTGTTTAGTCGGGATCTCACTATTTTGAAAGCAAAACCATAACATTTTCTCTTGATATCAGTCACCAACTTAAAAAAAAAAAAAATCACAAAAATAATTTCATTTCCAGATTCTACTCACCCTTTCCAGAATAGTCAAAGCTACAGACAATGGCGCATATAAACCTTGGTACTCATATAAAAAAGGACAATTTCACAGGTCAAAGAGGGTTAATGGTCTCTCCCCATTAACGAACGTGCTTTCCTGGTCTTAAATATCGACGCTTAGAAAGGAATCAAAAGTTTAAAATTACCCATTTACAAAGCCGTAAGATCATATGCTCTCAGATTTTCATGACATCAGCCATTAGCCAGGAGACAAACCAAGGACTGTTACGGTATTTAAAACTTTATAGAGGAAAAAAATTCCTAACCAGAAGAATGTATCAGCAAAGAAACCATTTCATAATAATTTGCCAAACAATACAATTATTGATATAGAAATCTTACTCAGTGATAATTTTATGGGAGCCATCAAGTTATGGGTTTGGGTTTCTTACAGGTGCAAATATAGCTTAACTTTTTTCAAAACCACCATTTGTTATGCATTTCATACAGTCTAAGTTGTGCATATGCATCATCTAAGTCCCACCATGATCCCATGAGTTGGAGGTATGATTTTCCCCATTTCACAGATGGGGAAATGGAGGCTCAAAAAGCTATATAATTCATCCATGGTCACACAGATTGAACAACAAACTGGTCCTTGTTAAGGACTACATAATACAGCCCCCCCGTGGAGACAGCCATTTTGCCATCAAACGAAAAATGGCCGAATCAAAACGTGAAATTTCTAAGAAAAGAAAGCCTTTGGTCTCCATTATTTTAAGGAACACATCAATCACAGCAATCAAGTGAATCTGAGACCTGAAACGTGAGGGAACTTTAAAATGGTGGAGAGAAATACAATGCAATTTCAGAAAAGTAAAATTATATGTATTGTCAATTGTGAAAGACAGGTTATTTTCTGGGTCTGAGGAAGATTTTAGCAAAGTATTGAAAAATTAGTCAAGGCCTTTATCTATAAAGTCTCTAAGACTGTCTCTTATCAGTGATACTTGTGTTTTTAAATGATCATAGGGCCATAAATTTCTTATCCTACAAAGTGTGAGGTGGACCCACAGGCATACATGTCACAGGAACAGCCAGTACAATGTATGTGGAGGTTCCTTTCCTCAGTTTGGCTTCAGGACAGTGGAAGTGAAGGCTATACCTCCCTCTGGGCCGTGATGAGACCTACGTGAGAAAAAGTGCTTTGCA